ATGAAACATTTCTATAACGATAATAATAATCTATTCTTTTATAAACAATAAGCACTGTATGGACAATTAGCATAAAGTAAGTACAATATGTGACTGTACTGTAGTCTATGACAGAGAGAGCTGTTATGTAACAGCCTCAAACTCGATGTTCGATAAAGGTTTAATGAAATAAAACTTTTATTACCTTTTGAAGTAGGTTTTATTTGGTTGAACCTCTATGCCGTGATAGAGTTCTAGACCGTTTTGAAAGAGAATAGCACTGCTTTTAGTTTTATGTCTTTTAGGCCATATTATTTGCTATGCGTATGTTAAAAAACTTTATAACATTAGACTGTTTCAGCAGTTCATTGAAAAAGATTACTTTCGTGGATAGTATTGGAAAGAACATCTTAAAAATTAAATCATATTGGTTTAGTGACAGATATACAGCTAAAAATAAAAATAAAGGCCCGATAAGACTTATCTGGCCATGAATTACCTGTTATGATCTTAAGTTAACTAAAGTAAGATCTTGTTTGTTAACAATCAAATAAGAGGTCATAAAGAGCAGCGATAACTTGCTTAAAGTTATTAGTGATGTAATGGAAGATTTGACAATAGATTATTTACCTATTTAAATAAAACTAAATCACACGAGTAAGATATTTCCAATAAAATAATTGCAGTTTTTTTTTGTGAAATAGCCACATTATAAGATAATGTATTTTCTTTGTTCACTTAATAAAATTAATTTATTATTTTGAAAGCTAAAGTTAAATCTTAATAATATGATAAAATTAAAAGGCAAATATTTGATCAAAATTTCTAATAACAATTTAGAAAATAAACATTATACAACTTCACACATCTAAATAAAGACTCGCCGAAATCATTAACAGAATAACAATTATACGATAAAAATTAGATTACACTTAAACTATAAAATTTACGAACAAAATAACGCTATTAAAATGTATGTATCCAAGAAACCTAATACGAGTAACAAGTAATTTATATCTTAATGGTTGCAATATCAAATGAAATAAAAAACACAACATTTAAAGTACAGCCAACATCACCTCAAGTTACACAAAACTGTCAAATTTCTACTCTTTATTTTGAACCTTTATATCGTACATTGAGGGTAGATGTCAAAATCTTCCGGTCACTAATAAATCAAGGCATTCTAGGTTTTTCCTTAAGAAAGTTACAGTATCGAATATGTTGTAAATGGTTTTAAGGAAAATTTCAATAACTTTTTACTTTTTGGGACTTGGTGGGTTATCATATGTGGTTGGCCCATAAGAACGTAACAATGAGTGCAATAAGACTAGATGATACATCTCGCTCGATCAAGTATTATTACTGTACAAAGTTTATGGAGTACCGCTGCCACATTTGGGATAATAATAATAATAATAATAATAATAATGTCTTTATTTGCAATAAATAGGGTTATATATACAGTTGTGATATTTCAGTTTAAGAGCTTTGACCTATTTAGCCATCTTGAACAGCATGCAAAAAATAATAATAATAATACCTAATAATAATAATACAATAGATGAAACTTAAAATATTTCATAATTACATAAAATTGTGTCAAATTTAACAATAATGGTATTTAATCAAAATATTACAATTGTGTCAAAACGTTATTAATCATGTCAATTTTATCAAAGTGTACAAAAAAAAAAAAAAAAATAATTAAAAAATGTATAAGATGTCAAATGGAAATATTAAAATATTAAACGTATGTCAGATGCAATTATGTAAAATTATTTATAAAACTTTGTATCGACTATCATGCTTACAAATTAATTACTGAATAAACTATCCTTCATTAAGGAATTCACCAATCGAGTAAAAAGCTTTTTCAATCAGCCATCTACGCAATAATATTTTAAAACGATTAGCCGGCAAATCTTTTATATCATTGGGTATTTTATTAAAGACAGTTGTACACATAAAGAGACTATTTTTTAAAAATTTTTTTGTTTTTGGTATCGATGTATGTACTACTTTGTTCGGGTTTCTCAAACTTCTTTCAGTTACATTACTCGATCGCACGAAGAATTTTTCGTTTTGCTTCACAAACATCGCCACTTCTAATATATACAGACAGGGCAGCGTTAATATTTTTAAAGAAATAAAATAAGGTTTACATGATATGTCTGATGTCAAATTGCATATAGCTCTAACACAGCGTTTCTGAGCAATCAATAATCTTGTTACATCAGTACCATTACCCCAAATAATTAAACCGTACCTTAAAACTGTTTCTACGTACGCAAAATAGGCTGTAATGGCAGTATTTAAGCTTGCAACTTTGGTTAATTTGTACAATGCATAAGCAAATCCATTTACCTTATTGCATATTTTATCTATTTGTTCTTTCCAGGTCAATGTTGGCGTAACTATTAGTCCTAAAAATGTAACACTTGTTGCATTCTGAAGAATTTGTCCGTTAAAAGCTATGTCAATCGATTGGGTTTTAAAATTATTGAAATTCATTAAATTAGTTTTTGATAGATTAATTTCTAAGTTATTATTATATGTCCATTCGTTTATTGATTTTAAGGTACAAATTATGTCATTTTTATGTTGGTCCAAAGAAGAGTTTTTGTCAGTTGTTATTATTATAGAAATGTCATCAGCAAATAGTATCAATTTATGTTTTATTATGTCTGGTAAATCGTTTAGATATAAAATAAATAATAATGGGCCCAGGACACTCCCCTGTGGAACACCAAGTCTATTAAGCCTAACTTTAGATTCGTATTTAACAATCTTTTTTAAGCTTATTTGATTAATTTCTACATATTGAAATCTATCAGTTAGATAAGTCTTTATCCAATGGAGAGCTGGACCCCTAATTCCACTACGCTCTAGTTTAGCTAACAGTCTGTCATGTGGAACACGGTCGAACGCTTTCGACATATCTATAAATAACACTGTTGTGAATTTTTTTTCATTGACGTTTTGAAGTACCTCATTAACAAGGTCAAAAGTAGCATGCGTTGTCGATTTATGCTTTTGAAACCCATATTGGTGTTTTGTAATGACTTGGAATTTGTCAAGAAACGTTGAAAGGTGATTATGCATGACTTTCTCAAAAACTTTTGAGAGAACTGGTAATATATAGCTCTTCTTACAATAGGTTAACCGATCAATGCGATCGAAAACCGATCGAAAAGTCTAATTAATTGAAAATGCGCTTCAAGAGATTCACGGCGGGTTTATAAATTTCAAGCATCGTCGTAGAATTGCTGGTCTGTCGGTGTTTTAAAAGTTGCGTTTTTATAAAGTGTGTGTGCAAACTTTATGAATAATGAGAATTTATTATGTATGACCCACCACGAAGACCCAATACTGATTGGTGACTGTTTTTGATAGCAGGAGTAAAGGCACAACGTGCTTTCCGAAGCAAGACGAAGAAATAATACATTTTTAATTACCCATCCTATTAGCGGCCTTAGCAAAAGTGGCTTCAATTATGTATAGCATACCGAACGCATTAACCATAGCACTAGCGAACATATAAATAAATATAAGGTTGGGGAAAAAAGTCTTTTCGCATATATAGTATGCATAAACTTTTAATGAAATCTTTCTGGCTATAACATTTGTATTTTGGTATCATTAAAAAAGTTAACTTCAAAGAAGATAAATTTGTGATTTTAATTTTATTATCTTACTGTAAAAATTAGTAAACCTAATGAAGAAATTCGATAAACTTTAAAATGTTATTACAAAAAAGGTAAAAATGCAACACAAGCCGCGAAAAAAAAATTGTGACCTATAAAGTTTCTATAAGAGTAGACACATTTGGTTTAAGCGTTTTCAGTCCGGAAATTTGATGTAAAGATGCACGTTGCTCCGGTTGCCTCGTTACGGATAAAATGGATGTGTTCTTTTGAAAAAGTGAAGCAAGATCGTTATATCAGTAGTTACGACGTAGATGAAGAACTAGGGATTGATCATAAAATAGTTTTGAAAAAGCAGGGTACAGAAAAAGTTGTTATTAGTTGAATATTTGGGTAACTGAAAGAAACGAGCTAACTGAAAGAAACGTAATGAACCGTGTACTCATTTGTGATTCTTTACTACGGCGTATTGAAACCGAACCATTTTTAAAAAATCCAATAACTGGTGATGAAAAGTGTATGACGTGCGTACAAGAATATGCGAAAAAGATCGGTCAGGCTTCACAGACTGTATCGAAACCCGGGTTAACTTGCAACAAGATGATCCTGTGTGAACGGTGAGAATGGAGGGCATTATTCATAATGAGCTGTTACCGCCAGTCAGGATCATGCTTTCTGAATTCTACTGCGAACAACTGAGCAAAAAGTTGAGAGAAAGCGGCTAGAATGAATTAATAGAAGGGGCATAGTTTTTCATCATGGTAACCTGTGTTATCATTTTTCTTTTCACCACACGTCTTTTGCAACTCAGCAAAAAATAAAAGAGTTTAGCTGGGAGGTGTTAATGCATCTGCCGTGATGCATCCTGACCTTGTACCTTCTGATTTTTACCTGTTTTGGTCTCTTCAGAATTTTTTAAACAGTGTCAGGTTAAAATCACGCGAGGACTGCCAAAACCATTTGTCGTGGTTTTTTGATCAGAATCGAACAAAATGGTATCTATGTAGGTACCATTTTGAAATAAACTTTATTGAAAATGTATTAAATTTTCATATAAAATACGAAGGTACTTTTCCCCCAACCTATTAATAATATTTTAAATTTTTCTTTCCACTCCTAAAGTATAATAAACAAAAAATGCCATTTTATATTGATATATTTCAATGCGTTACGTTCAGTAAAAAATACATGTTACCAACTTAACTTAATTTTAAAATACTATTACCATATGTACTACTATAATATACCACATACAGTGGTATTATAGTAAGCCATGTAGCTTTCTACTATACAGTTCGAATTATTGAGATTAAGCGTTCAGTCGATGTAAGATAAGGATTTTCGTATAAATACTTCCATGTAACACATTTCAGCACAGTTGTCTTCAATCACTGGCAAGATGAGGACTGTCCTGGTACTAGCGGTTGTGGTTGGTCTGGCTGTAGCCGGACATATTCCCATCTACCACAGGGATATCAGCAATACAAAGTTCGAAAATGGTAAGTCCATTTAAAGTGTTAGTTAAATATACTTTCACAACTTAAAAATTACGATTTACTTATTATTTTTTTATTTATTTTTTTATACAAGTTTTTGTTGGATAAATTGAATTTTGTAAAGACAAATCAAGCGAGCCCAAAGTCGATGGAATTTTGTTATTTAATTATAAAACCTTCAAAACTACCAGCTATCACCCTATATCAGCTATTTTCTATATTAAAGTTATCATGACCCCTTTATCCTATCATTAAAGTATTATTATTTTTTTAGTTGACGCGGTTACCGCTCAGCATCAGTACCAGGTTTTGGAATTTTTCGAAAACTGTAAACAAATTAATACCGCAGCTGGCTATTATAAAGTCGGCCAAGAGTACAACATTAAAGCTAATGTTCAAAATTACAAAGTGAGTATGTCAAAATGACTAATGAAATAATTTCAATGACATTATTATTAGAGGAAGATAACCAAATATGGATGAATATTAATCCATCCTATGCAAAAATCTTCCTAAAAGGTTCCTTTAAAACTTTTAAAAAAAAATTAGAGTTTAACCTATTAGGTACAATTAAAGAATGAATTTCAGTATTCCATATTAGGGACACATATTCGGTTACTTCCACTATAATTTTTTTATATTATAATCTTATTTTAAATATGATTGTATTGTATAGTAACGTAAGCAATATTACTCAAATTGTTTTAATGGTTTTCAGAAACCCGAGGTAGTGTCAACATTCTTCTCATTCTATGAACAAGATGACTTCTTACCTACACATGAGATATTCTCAGTTTTCAACCATAATATGAGACAACAAGCCAAAGCACTGTACGATTTATTCTACTACGCCAAAGACTTTGACACATTCTACAAAACAGCTGCTTGGGCGCGCGTGCATGTCAGTTTGTCAATGTTCACTTACACATTTTATGTTGCTGTTGTCCAACGTGCTGATACTAATGGACTCGTCCTACCTCCGTACTATGAAGTAGCTCCTGATTTTTATGTTAATACTGATATTGCTACTAAAATTTACTACGGTAAGTCACGAGGAGAGCCGTTCGAAGAATTCCCCGACTATGGCGTCATCAAAGAAGGCAATTATCATTACTACTACCAAAACTACTCTAGCTACTTCACTTATGGGGATGAACATAAACTGGCTTACTTTACCGAAGATATCGGTTTGAATAGTTTCTATGCCTACTTCCACGTTATTATGCCATTCTGGCAGGAGGGTGATCAAATCGCTCATGGTATCTTCAAAGAACGTCGTGGTGAAATTTACTATCACTTCTACCAACAGTTTTTGGCTCGTTATTACTTAGAGAGACTTTCAAACGATATGGGTGAGATCCCAACCTTCTCATGGAATCAGCCATTCAAATATGGATACCGTCCATTCATGGCGACAGTATTTACACCTTTTGCGCAAAGGAGTGACAATTACATTATGCAAAATGAGTACAACTATGAAGATTTACAATTTGTCAGCAACTATGAGAACATGTTCATGCAATTCCTTGAACAAGGCCAGGTCAATGCTGTAAGTATATTTAATGTATTAATGGTATAAATTTTAGACAAAATCTCGTACATTTACAAGAGCGGCTAAAATAGTCGTATAGTGGAATATCTGAAATGACGAACATCAAACCCGAGGCAATATAGAAAACTTAATTTTCTACATTGAACCGATTAGGAATTTAATCCAGGACCTCAGAGATGACACCTTTAAACTAGTGTGGGCTCGCAGGTCGTCATTAAAGTAACTATTAAGGTTTTTAGTTTTATAAATAGGTTATTATAATGTCATGTTTTTTTTTTATTTTATAGTTCAATAAACAAATAGATTTTGCAAACTCAAAATCCATCAATTTCGTGGGCAATTACTGGCAATGCAATCCTGATCTTTATGAGAAGCTTTCATCGCATCGCCACTACCATAATTCTTATGAAATGGCAGCTCGTCGCATTCTTGGTGGTGCTCCTATTAATTACCAATATGGAGAAGAGTAAGTATTATTGAGAACATATTCAAGTAATTATTTGGTATATGACCGCAAAAATTGGTTTATATTTTTCAATTTATTAACCAAATTTTAATTTTTTATGGCAACGTTTTACTTAACTACGTGCATATTTCATTATAAATCACACTGATGATATCCAATTATTTCGTTTGAAAGGTTTACGGTTTTTATGCTTAAAAGAACGAAATAAATAATGTAACGACATTATATTTACAAAATGTCATAATTGTAAATACATTTTTTATGCATTATCGACACCATTACCACCATTTGTATATAAGATGTACGCTAACGGGAATTATGTTTTTCAGGTATTTATATCCACCAACTGCATTAGACTACTACCAAACTTCCGCTCGCGACCCGGCATTCTATCAAATGTACAACAAGATATTTGATTTCATGTCGCAATATAAGCAATATTTGCAACCTTACACTCAGCATGATCTCCATTACGTCGGCGTTAAGGTTAATAATGTTCAAGTAAGCAACCTGGAAACTTATTTCGATTTCTACTCTTTCAATGTATCCAATATGGTCTTCTTCACAAACCAAGAAGTAGTCTCGGGAACTGATCAACAATATGCTGTTGTACAACCTCGTCTAAATCACGAATCCTTCACTATTAAGATCTCTGTAAAATCTGATGTCGAAGAACAAGCTACTTTTAAGGTTTTCATCGGTCCAAAATACGATAGTTATGACGTTGAAATTAACATTGAAGACAACTACATGAACTTTGTAGAATTAGATATGTTCTCGCAAAAACTTACCAAGGGCGAGAATGTGATTGTGCGTAATTCTAATGATTTCTTCTTCTACAAAGAGGATTCAATGTCGATTGGTGAAATTTATAACTATTTAGGACAAGGAAAATTGCCTCATGATATGATATACAACTATGATGATTTACCTGAGAGGCTTATGCTACCAAGAGGTACAAAGAGTGGATTCCCTCTGCAAGTATTCGTTGTTGTGTACAAGAGCCAAGGAGTACCCCACGAGACCAATAAAGAACATACGTTCTTCTTTGATGAAAAGCCTCTAGGTTATCCATTCGACCGCCCCGTGACCAAGTATTTCATGCAGCCCAACATGTATATGCAGGATGTCGTCGTTCATCATAGAGGTAGCGAATATCCTACATCTTTTGACGTTGTAAAGCAATATGTAACAGTCTCTCAGCATTAGTTATGTTTAACATTAACTGCAATAAATAAATAGAAATAAAATGTGTTTAATTTCGTCACAGTTTTTATTGGTAGTTTGCGTTACTTTATACAATTTGAATATTTATATTCTGGATTTTGCAAAATGAGATAAAACTAGAGGTATTTATTAATTTGGTAGTTTTAAAAATAAAAAAAGAATGTTTGCGATTCGATGTTACAATGTGCAAGAAAAATGTTTTATCAAAAATGAAACGTTTGTCCAATCAGATTAAATATAACAGTTTAAATTTGTTTTTTAATTATAATTTAATACAGATAAACTAAACTATTCTAATTAAATTGAAAAAGAAACAATGTACCTATAGTTAAAAGGCCGATAGCAAAAAACATATCACTAAGGACTATAAATACATATGGTGTTCGATAAAAATAATAAGACTTTTGTTGTAGTCGTTTCTTTGTATATATAGTTACGAGTCAATACAAAAGGATTGAGGTGAAATAAATTGTATGCGTCATTTTTTAACTCATAAATTTAGCATTAAAGCGAGTAAATTATTTATTATAACAACCAAATAAAAATATTATCATGAATTATATACAATTACTAAATTAAGCACAGGTTAGAAGCTTATATATTCTACTTTTTTATGACTTAATTTGTTATTTGTTTTATGCACAATCTGCCATCTAATGTTTGTTTTTTCCACCCAATGCAAGGTTGCCTGGAAGAAATCGCTGCCTAGCGATAAGGCTGCCTTTTGTACGTTTTCATGTATTGATTTATATTTGTCTATGTAATTTTAATATGGTTTGTGCAATAAAGAATATTTATTATTATTATGTATTCTAAAATATAAAAAAATTGTGTTATTTCAATGAAATTACATACTTAGGGGTGAAATTGATAACTTCCTTTTTGAAATTGCCTAATGGAATTTTAAACTAGGTTATTGGATTGAAATAAAACTTTAAAACGTTTGTTACTGCTGAGATCACTTTAAAAATTTATTACTATTACTCAGAATGGTAAATACTTGTAAAATGTCAAAAGAAAAAAAAACCAGATACAACAAATGATGATTTCTTAGAAAAATTGAATCTAAAGTGCATTACAATGATTTTAAATCACAAAGTATGATAACTTACGATCCCAAGGCATGTGTTTTAATCAAGTCTTATTTCCGTCCAAAGAATATTTCCGTCAAAAAAAAAGCCATATCTCTGCGTTGGTTTACACGCGCGCGGGTTTCTGTGTGAGAACCGAAGTAGAAATTGTTGACGAAATTTTAATAGCATTTTAACAAGTCTACTATTATAAAATACAGAATATTTAAAATTAATTGTGTTAATATTGTGAGTATTAAGCGTTTTTCATTAAGAAAAATACTTTTATCAGAGTATTAGGAGAAGAATCTTTAGGCTTGTTAAATTACATAAAGTCTGCCGCCCATACGATCTTAAGCATTGCCAGCTGCCGTCCTTGTAAAGTTTAATTATCAACTTTTTATGACCCTCTTTTGTTATATTCAAGAAATGGTAATAGTTTTTAATAAATTGAAGTGAATTCTGATAATCCATTAGTATTGAGTTACCCATATTAGTTATTATACATATTCTATGCCACGTCATATTGATTTTAGGACGAATAAAATGTTCCGAGCGGTAGGTATATAAGAAAATAGTGTTTATCAGCGTATTGTTTCTGAGGATTTTCGCACTAACAAGAAGGTGATAAAAGGATTGTGGTCGCTTTATCGTACTACTGAGGTTGTAGCTGAAAGCCGGCTAGATATCGTGATAACAATTTAGAGAAAATACGATTTCTTTTTGACCAGAACGTATGAGGAAAAATATACTGGATTGTTCCATGGCCGATCAACATCGAAGCGTGACATGTCCGGACCCACAGTAGTCTGCTCTGAGAATGTTTTAGCTTTGTCGAAACACTTTGTCTATAATTATAATAAAATTGTTTATTTATCTTTTGTAGGTACCACAAAAAAGTCCACTTATATCATCTTTAACTTCAACAAATATTATCTTTAAGAATAACGAGGTACCTTCCAATATTTCAAAGTTTACTTTTAATTATATTACATAGGTATTTTAGTTCCTAGAATAATGTGAATGTAAATAAAATATTAAAAAGTATAGTATGGTCTCACGTTGGTCTGTAATCTTTTGTTTGGCATATTCTAAGCTTTGCAGACTAGTAATAAAAAGTTTACATAATGTTTGATCCTGTGTAGTTGACTTAGTGGTCAGTATGATTTGTTTACGCCTGATAGAAGTTCATATCAAAGACAGATTCTTTGACTCATGCAAAATGCGTTTTACTCCACCTCTCGTCAGTATTCTGTGAAACTTACGCAGCCTTTTAATGTGGTTTTTGGTAATATAGTTTCTTCGGAAACTAGCTTGTTTAGAAGGTTGAAAAGAAAGATTGCTGGCAGATTGGATGTGGTTATGTATCGTCATTTGCTGCGGTTTTTTGGTATAACGTGTTATGTTCGTTTCTTACGAAGATCGTTTTAAAATACTTTTCCAACTAAACGTAGTCCCTAACTACAGTGATATTCGTGGACATGCATCAGCTTTAGTATAATAACGGCGTAAAAATAACTAATTATTTATTGATGTCCTCCGTAGCTTAATAGTTTGCCTGTCGATTTCATGGTTTCACCATCTCCCGGTTCATCATCAGTTGGGTCAATGTAGAAAACATATTTTTTCTTTATGTTTCGAGTCTGGTTGTTATGGTGTCTTATGTCAGATACTCCATAATACGAGAGCTTTAACTATTCATCATGGAATCGGAGCAATGTAGGTAATATTGTGCAATATTTTTTATTAGCTGAACCGGAAAACGTAGTTTGGCCATATAAATTTGGGTGGACCACCTTTATAATTTAGGGGTTTAAAATATAGATAACCACTTATTCTCAGAGCTACTGTATATATTCTCATATATTTCATCAATTAACACTGTGATACTAGAATTTTTAATATTGCGTTGATACTGTCTGCCGCACAACGGTCTATTAATTGTACAAGACTAAGACAAGTAACATTATATTATTAACCTTCCTTTATGTGGAAGAACAAATAACCTTTATTCTATTCTATACTTGCATATCACAATAATTTTATATGTAGTTTCTTACATTGTATATTAAATTTTTGAGATAACTAACTCTTAAAAATTTAGATGCAGTATGATAAGGATTTATGTATAAAATACTTCCGAGTGCCGTGTTTTTGAACAGTGGTCTCCAGACTCTGGCGAGATGAGAACTATTCTAGTACTTCCTATTGTGGTCGATCTGGCTTTAGCCAAGCACGGTTCCACTGTGCTGCACAAAGATACCAGCAATCCCAAATTTAAAAAGGTTCGAAAAATGTTTTTTACATGGTAATTAAATGTATCATTTAAAAAATTAAGTAAATATATATACATTAAAATATATTTTAAGATTGTCGTACTAAAATAGGAAAAAAATAAATTTATAGCTTCACTTATGACCGTCCGTTTTTCTCTGAAAATATTGGATCGATTAGTTAGTTTATTGATCGAATAGTTTACTACATTAAAGGAAGACAGTTTTTTTTATTAATAAACTTTTTCACCATCTTCACCATCGTCACCGTAAAGAAGAATGATAATAACAGGAAGAAGAAGTTTATGGCTTCTTAAATATAATATTTCAAAAATTATAAAGTATATCAAATATATTCAATCTATTTTTTATTCTATAAGAAACTCATAAAAATGGTTTTCAGAAATCCAAACTAGTATCTACATTTTTCTCAATCTGCGAGCAAGATGACTTCATACCTACATACAAGATATTCTCAATTTTAAATTCTGATATTAGACAACAAGCTAAAGCATTATAGGATTCCAAAGACTAAGACTATTCCAATGACTATGACACCTTCTATAAAACTGCTTCCTGGGCGCGTGTGCACGTCCATTTTTCAATGTTCACTTACATATTTTGTTGCTGTCATCCACCGTGACGATACAGCGGGACTAATTCTACTTCCATATTATGAAGTATTTCCTGATTTTTTTATTAATATTGAAACCGTTAATAAGATCTACTGTCGCGAGAAGAGCGTTCTGTTATACAGAATAGCTAAAAAGGCTTTTTAAAAAACAAATATCTCACTCGCGACGGTTTATCTATAAATATATGTGAGGATTAAGGGATCCTAGACAACCGCTCCGGATGGGTATTGAAATCAGACTGATTTAATAATTAAGTGCTACTAATGAAGCTCTGAGAAGAGACTGCTGACAAGGCCTAGCAGTTGCTATAATCCTAACTACAGAAGGGTATAACAGTTCGAAGAATTCCCCGACTATGGCGTCAAAGGCAATTACCATTGTTACTACCAAAATTACTCTAGCTAGTTCACTTATTGAGATAAACATAAACTGGCTTACTTTACCGAAGATATTGGGCTGGAATTCTTTCTATGCTTACTTCCATTTTATTATGCCGTTCTGGGAGAAGGGTGATCAATCGCTCATGGTATCTTCAAAGAACGTCATGGTGACATTTACTATCACTTCTACCAACAGTTTTTGGCTCGTTATTACTTAGAAAGACTTTCAAATGATACGGGTGAGATCCCAACATTGTCATGGAATCAACCATTCGAATATGGATACCGTTCTCACATGGTAACAGTAATTATGCCTTTTGTGCAATAATGTTATATAATGAACATATATGGACATATTCTTCTTTGATAAAAGACCTTTGAGTTATCTGTTTGACCGTCCTATGAATAAATATTTTATTTGATATATTTTTTTTAAAAGTGCGTCCTATATATGACTTGGCGCCATTTACTTAGGCATGTTTTTGGCGGGTTTAATTCTTACCAAGAATTATGATTAAATGATTATTTTTTAAGGAAAACTCTTTAAAATTACCTGAGAGCTACCTGAGATGTTTGCTGCTTAATTTCAGGAATATCAATATATCACTTATTACCCCTGGAAAACCGTCGAATGATAGCTGATA